CCCATAGGATCCCATAGATCCCATAGATCCCATAGGTCCCATAGATCCCATAGGGATCCCATAGATCCCATAGGTCCCATAGGATCCCATAGATCCCATAGATCCCATAGGTCCCACAGATCCCATAGGGACCCTCAGATCCCATAGATCCCATAGGTCCCATAGATCCCATAGATCCCATAGATCCCATAGATCCCATAGATCCCATAGGTCCCATAGATCCTATAGGTCCCATAGGTCCCATAGATCCCATAGATCCCATAGGTCCCATAGATCCCATAGATCCCATAGATCCCATAGGTCCCATAGATCCCATAGGTCCCATAGATCCTATAGGTCCCATAGGTCCCATAGATCCCATAGATCCCATAGGGACCCTCAGATCCCATAGGTCCCATAGATCCCATAGGTCCCATAGGTCCCATAGATCCCATAGATCCCATAGATCCCATAGGGACCCCCTGGAAGCCAAAGGGGACCTTGGGATCGCTGACAGCGACCCCTGTGTGTCCCCATGTCCGTGTGTCTGTCCCTGTCCCCGTGTCCGTGTGTCCGTCCCTGTCCATCCCCGTGTCCCTCTGTCTGTCCGTCTGTCTGTCCATCCCGGTGTCCGTGTGTCCCCGTGTCTGTCCCGGTGTCCCGGTGTCCCCGTGTCTGTCCGTCTGTCTGTCCCCGTGTCTGTCCATCCCCGTGTCCCCGTGTCCGTGTGTCTGTCCCGGTGTCCGTGTGTCTGTCCCCGTGTCCGTCTGTCTGTCCCCGTGTCTGTCCATCCCCGTGTCCCCGTGTCTGTCTGTCTGTCCCCGTGTCTGTCCATCCCCGTGTCCCCGTGTCCGTGTGTCTGTCCCGGTGTCCGTGTGTCTGTCCCCGTGTCTGTCCCCGTGTCCCCGTGTCTGTCTGTCCCCGTGTCCGTCTGTCTGTCCCCGTGTCCATCCCCGTGTCTGTCTGTCTGTCCCCGTGTCCGTCTGTCTGTCCCCGTGTCCCCGTGTCCGTGTGTCTGTCCCCGTGTCCGTCTGTCCATCCCTGTCTGTCCCGGTGTCCGTGTGTCCATCCCCGTGTCTGTCTGTCTGTCCCGGTGTCCGTGTGTCCCCAGGAGAAGGCTCTGTCCAAGGCGGCGCCGCGGGACAAACCCGCCCTGGGGGAGCCCCTGGGCCCCCACTGAGCTGTGAG